TGAGCCTGACAGGAATCCTCTGAGTCCTATCCCTAACCGACGTTCATGTAGAATGTTACATACGTAAGCCAACATTATGCCTGCATTATTATAGTTACGAAGTTTTAGATGTAGCATTCAAACGATTTGGATAATTCTAGGTAGATAGCATCGAGCCTGGCTTCACTGTCAACTGCCTCGGTCCAGCTACTACGTACAATTACCAGCTTTCTGATGGATGAGCGATACTAGCGGAGACCTTGTTGCTTCGGGGCTGATATGCTGCAGTTCTCTAGGCAATACAGCCGTGCTTCTGCGATGATCCATTCTTTAACCTTATGAAGCACAGAAGGCTGTATGATCAGATGGTAATTGACAAGGTCACTGCGGCGCTTTCCTTTATGAATATGAGTGATGAACTTTCGTGTTTATATTGGTGGAACGACAACTTGTGGCAACTGACCCGTGTAGTGTTCCGCAAATATACCTCCTGTCCGGTGCGTTGTCTTTTTGACTCGTGGGGCGCAAATCTAAGAAGTCCAACGCCTGGGGACACAACACTTGAAAAAATAAGATAAATAACAGTGTCGGCAAAAGAACGGGCGGGATACATGCCGTATCAAGATGTTTGCATGGGCACATGTGTGAGTATTCTGACCTGGCGTTTAAGTGGGTTATGACACCGTCCAACGTTTGTACTGCACTCATGCTATAATCTGATGATCATATGCTATATCCCATTGTGTGAATACGTTAGGGTATCCTCAAGGCATTTTTCTATAATGATACTAGGAGGAACTAATTACATGCACTGGGAGGAACGTCCAGTGCTGTGACACTCGAATAGAAAAATATTGCGTTGCCATTTCAGTAGGTTGTACTTCGTAACCAATCGAACCGGATTAACTTCCCGTGTGCAGTGGGCATGTTTTTGCAGAATTATTGCCTAAAGAAAGTGATTTGTACTACCCAACTTGTTTTAGCGCTTTTCGTGCTTCTATCCAGATGCGCCACCCTGTTATTTTTTAACAGTTTTCACTGTTGCAACATTGTGATCGATTAAGTATTCTCCGCGTCATCTGGTGGTCCTAGAATTACTTCCATAGGATCAATTTGAACGAAGCTACGAGTCAACCTGTGTTTTCAATTGCGTTTGCCAATGGCTGGCACTGGTCGCTGACATCCACCCACTACAATCCAATTCGAACGGCTTCGCCCTGCAGGAACCAGTGTGGATCAATAAACTAGCCAAACTCTGTGTAGTGCGTCCTTATAGTGCCACACGCATCTACGGTAACCAACGTCGAGCTTGAGACGGGGACAAACAAAGCGAGCACCACTTGCTGTCGGTCTCATATGGTCAGACAAGTGCAGTATGCGCGTGTAACAACGGCTCTCAATGGAACTGCATCCACCTAACCGAAAATGTGGTGAGTCGAAATGTGCACGAGGGGTCTGCAGGGAATTACTCGCGTACAAACGGTCGGCTTAAAAGTAAACACAAAGTTTACGCAAAGCAGACCTCTTATTCTTCCACCAACGCACACTGCCTTCTCAGCAAACTGGTAAAGCTTCAGGTACGTCATGCTAGGACGTTGTGGAACCTCAACAGGATAACCAAGACATGGTTGAGTGAATCGTTCTGGACACAGAAATCGTACCACCTGGAATGTCCGTGCTGCATATTACTTTGCCGAATAAAGAAGCAGGTGTATTACTTGATTACTGATTTAGCTGCCTCTTGTTCTAGTCGATGAACCAGATGCCCAGATTATCGACGCCCGTTGGTGTCGTCTAAACACAAGACATGGTGACACAATTTCAGTTGGCATGGTCAGTTTCGGGAAAATCGCCTAGTTTTCATTATGAACCTACCCTTGCACAGGCACATCGTTACATCCTTCTGATTGAGGACTTCAATCTTCACGTGTAGAATCCCCAGCCTGTTTCGATGCAAAATTCTAAATGAAAATATATCAGCTAATCATTGGATTACCACCGCACAACCATCCTACCTATCTCACAATATTCAGCAAGAGAACAAATCATGTACCTTCAGTCTTGTGTTCCCTAGCGAGGAGCTTGTGATGGAACTAGTATCGTTAGCTAGTCCTTTGGGCTGCAGCGATCAAACAACACACTTATGCAACTGTATCTCTTAGGCAGAGTTTTCCGCAGACAACGCCCGATGACTCTCGGCTGCTTATCGATTACGCTGTTCTGATTATACTCATTATGTACTTGGCCGGTCCTTTATAGCTGAACTATCCCCCGACGTCTCCTGGTGGGGTTTTGTTCAGCAATTCAGCAATACACGCCTGGCAGCACTGGCACAAGCACCACCTCACAGTACTTGAACTGCCCCAATGAAGGGCAACCAAGGATGTAACATGTCTGTTTCATCTCCTTTACCAACTAAGGTTGCAAAACCTTTGGGTCTATAGTGGACAATACCGAAGCCCACGTGGCGATTTACTAATGACATACTTTATCCTAAGGAATCTAAAACATGCTTTTAGTCATCTCCTCAAGCTGAAGCACAATACAACTCTGAGAGGTCACCAGCTAATGCTGACCACACAGCATAGCCGTTTGGATTGTCGCCAGAATCCCTTTCCATCGCGTGTGCCAACCAGGGAACATCCTCCCAAATTACGTTGTTTCTTCCCCACATTGACGGCAATCAAAGATGGTCTAGACTGTGCACTCATGCATTTACATTAGGCCATATAATCCACCATATCCGGGCGTCAATCTAGCACTACAAAACAATCTGTGTACTTTCAACTTCAGCACATAATTTTTTAAAAGCTACTACTGGATTTACTTAACCCATCCATCCAAGCAAGCTGAAAACGAGGAAGCGTTGTCAATTCTCTTCTTTATTTATTTATTTCTCACGTATTACATGAACTAGAAACACTTACCTTTGTATGCGCGCATGCCATTTGCATCTCAAACTACCACCACACAGCCATGCGGTTAAAGTTGTAATCGCTCAAACTGACGATTCAATTATCCCTTGCTCTAGTTTTGCTCACTGTAACCACCATACGGAAACGGTCAAGTACCTGCTTTTCACCCTTGAGAAATATTTGTGCATTGTTTACTGTTCTCTTTAAGCTGGTGATGGTGAGGTGTTGTGGCTGACTTTCAAAAGATGGTGGCGTGGGTTTCCTACGATCTGATACACCATTATGAGATCGCTCTGTGGACACACATAACGTCCACCGTACGTTTTTAGTTTTCAGCTTGAGCAATTAGGGTAGATGTGACAAACCTTTGCCGTTCTTCCTCACCCTGCGCTCGGCGTTATTGTGTGCCTTGTGATGCTTCTTCCAGGAATGACATCCTTGGACAGCTTATTCCAAGTGTACTTTCGCGTACACACCCAGGCATTTTCGGAAAGATTGAGGTTTCGCACTTCCCAAACATCCTACTATTGAGGTCAAAGTGCTGGTTTGCTTACCTCGCGGACTTTTCAGTCTGCGTCTAACAACCACGATTATCTTGTACTCTGAGATTGCACGCATGGGAAGCCCATTGTAGCAATTGCAGCATAGGCCAATAGTCGTACGTGTTCTGATGGCGCATGTTCTGCATTTTTTAGTTGGCGGCTTTAAACTGTGGGACGTACTCGATGAACTATGTGCATGCATTATCCAGATCAGCTTCTAGGACTGTGGGATCATCCATTGTAGTGATAGCACACCATATATTTAGGTCAGCAGTGAATAGTAGGGAATTTAAAGATAGTGAGGTCTTTTACGAAGACCAAGGTGTGTTAGGACCCGATTACTGAGCCGTTAGGTAAGCCGAATAAACTTCGTTTGGTTCGGATATGGCGCTGCTAGCCCTCAAATTCGGATTGCCTATCCAAGCCAGAACGGAATAGCGGATTCCATAATTCTGAGTTCCGCGCAGTAAGATGTAATAGTCCGGACAAGCGAATGCCTTTGATAAAGCCTGGTGGCCGGTATCTACTTATAATATTCTACCATTTAATGTAGAACCTTCTGGCGTTGTTCGACTACGCCAAAGACATGACTACTCGTATTGGATTGAAGCACAAAGCTTGCAGACCAGCTACCAGGAACCTGACCTTGGTATGCTCGTACGGAATGGCCTAAATCGTTCAAAACAGGCTGACGCAATTGCGAAAAGTGGCAGCTGGCACCTTGGAGGGCTGCACAGAGCTTTTGTGAGTTTTGGCCCGTCAATCTTCCCAATGATGCACAATTCCTACGTGCGCCTTCACATTGAGTACGCCATCCAAGTTAGGCAAACTCGATTGAAGCGTGGCCTAGAGGTGTTTGAGGCCTCACAGCGCAGGGCAACAAAGAATGCCACGGGTGTACGGAATCATTCATAGCAGCGAAGGCTGAAGTTGCTGGGGGATTTAGCGGAAACTACCGAAGGCTAGGAGGCCGTCTCATAAATGTGTACCAAATATCAAGTGGCGCACTAACGTATGCCGTCACTTGCTGAAACCCAATCACACTATTAAACTGAGAGGGAACTCCCGAATCCAAGTGAATAATACGGCCGTCTAGAGTATCGGCGGAATTAACTTCCTCTTTGGGTTTGCCAAACTTGTAACTGTCTCCAAGACTCAATGCCTCTTTATCTACGTGGAATACCTTCACAGATCGATTAGACGTTGCGCTTAGCTCCCTGTGCTTTGTGACCTGAGTGTTACTTGGACATATACTCATCTTGCCCTCATACCGAATTTAGGTGCCACATGGACCTAAGGAGACGGCAAATGAGTGAGTCCTCTTATTTTTAACTTCTCCACACGAGATTTGAACTATACTCGCTCCCACGTTGTCTTATATATTTGCATTCAATTCTTATTGTTCAGTATTTTATTCGGCAGCACTTTAACTCGATAGCAAATTTCACGGCTGATGCGCAAATCGTTTGATTTTGTAGTTCTTGCTCCAACCACCCAACAGAACTTGGCGATCAGGTGTTGTTTTGCCCGCAACTAATCAATGTTTATTGTTCATTGGGTACCGTCAGCAGCGCGCCTTCCCGGGCTTCAACATAACCTTTCGACTCCAGGGGTTTGGGCCCTTAAGGCTAAACCACTGAGGTGAGCACCCAGTTATGACATATAAACTTGAGCACGGTGGCCGTGAGACAGTGAAGAATTTGGAGAACTTACCTGTTCCATTAGACGCAATTGAAGGCACAGTATCCAACGCAAGAAAGCGTTCAAAGTTGTCTAGGACCTCCTGCCGCGGTCGACAGAATGTGAGCTCACTGGTCGCATTAGGTTTAGGCACAATTTCCGTACTGGAGAAAGCCCCATTTAACTTAGTACATTCTCCTTGGGTAGGTGCTTCAATGAGTTCCATCAATTGCATCTGTAAATAACGGCGAAGCTCCCGACCTTCACGTTTCACCTTAAATGATGGGGAGAAAAAGAAGAAGGAAAAGTGTTTACTGGATTTACTTAGACTTCACTGTTTATTTTTTCAATATATATATATCACAAAATTAATAATTTCAAGATGATCTTGAGCAATTTCACGGTGCAGTGCACAGACATTTCACAGTTTCAAATATCATGGGCTAAGATAATCATACGCAGATGGCCCTTATCTTATCGCTTCGCCTAAGGGAAAAATCTAACACTGTGGGAAGCCCAATCACTTCGCCTGCTGCTGTCAGTCGACAGATGTCAGTGCACTCGTTCCAGACAAATCAACAGAAGACACCGAACAATCGATTGGTAACGTGTCTCGGAAAGCGTCGCAGAAGTGTGTCTATGCAAGTCTTCTGATCGATGGACTGTCTGTGCGATTCCAGTTAGACACAGGCGCGACGATCAATATTTTGCCCAGAAAGCACTGCCGCGGCGTGCAAATTCAATCGGATCAAGATTATTTGCGCATGTGTAATGGTTCCAGACTCAAGCCAAAGGGCTCAGCGCCAATTGAAGTGGTCAATCCGAGAGACGGGATTTCGCATCGTCTGCAGTTCGTGATCGTGGATGAGGATCTCAAGCCGATTCTCGGCATTGATTAGATTTTCTCTCTTGGCTTTGTCATTTTTAACCATGATCATTTTGTGTACGCATGTCAGAGTGAAGCCGATGTTAGTGATCTGTATCCGTCTGTGTTTAGCCCGGGTTTAGGGGAATTTGAGGGTACCGCTCACCTGTCGTTAGATCCCTTGGTACGCCCGATTGCGTTACCTGCTAGGAGAGTCACATTTGCGCTACGTGACCGATTTTCCGCGGAATTGAACAAGCTGGTTATGCAGGGTGTGATTGCGTAGGTTGATAAGCCAACAGACTTGGTTAGCCAGGTCGTAAGCATTACGAAGAAAAATGGCGAACTACGCGTATGTATAGACCCGAAGCCACTGAATGAGGCCCTGCGTAGAGAACATTATGCGCTACCGACGTTAGAAGATGTTTTACCGCGTTTGACAAAAGCTAAGTTTTTCACGAAAGTAGACCTTTCTTCCGCATTCTGGCACCTTGTTCCAGACGACGAATCCAGTTCCTCACCACATTTGCTACACCGTTCGGACGTTATCGTTGGCTGCGATTACCGTTTGGCCTGAAGGTGTCTAGCGAAATTGTCCAAAAGCGTTTGGTGCAAGCAATAGATGATTTAGATGGCGTAACCTGTGTGGCAGATGACGTTCTGATTTACGGTTCTACCGAAGAAGAGCATGACACTAAGCTACACCGGTTCCTGAGGCGTTGCGTGCAAAAGAACATCAAGCTAAAACGCGAGAAAGTAGAGCTGCGGAAAGAGGAGGTGATTTTCCATGGGCATGTGTTAACATTCGACGGAATCAGGGTTGACCCAGGGAAGATTAAGGCGATACAAGAGATGCCGTCCCCTAAGGATGTGAAGGCAGTCCATCGCCTTAACGGTATGATGAATTATTTAAGCCGGTTCCTACCAGGACTCGCTGATGTCATGACTCCGATTAGGCAGTTAACTCACAAAGGAGTAAATTGGAGCTGGGGGAAGGAACAGGATTTGGCTTTCGCAACCATTAAGAACCTTATCAGTAATGCGCCCGTACTCGGATATTACGATCCGGCACAACCATTGGAGGTACAGTGTGATAGTAGCCAGAGTGGAATAGGTGCTGTTCTGTTGCAGAACGGAAGACCTTTGGATTTCCGCAGTCGAGCACTCACAGAGGCCGAGACGCGGTACGCACAGATCGAGAAAGAGATGCTGGCAGTGGTCTATGCCACGGAGCGTTTCAATGATTATACTTTTGGAAGAAAGACAACCGTGTACACTGATCATAAGCCGCTGGTGTCGATAGGCACTAAACCACTGAATAACGTTCCTCGCCGTCTGCAGCGTATGCTTATCCGGCTCCAAAAGTATGACATTGACATTGTGTACACACCTGGCACACAGATGTTCATCGCGGACGCTCTGTCGAGAGCACATCCGCCAGTGGCCGAACATCAGCTAGAAGAGATCGAGACAGTTTGCATGGTGCAGCATCTGGCAGTGACAGAAAACCGTTTGAAAGACATAAGGCGTTTCCCGGAGGAAGACCAAACTTTTGCAGCTTTGCGAGACGTTATCCTCAACGGGTGGCCAGAAACAAAGAAGCAGCTCCCGAAGGAATTAACACCCTACTTCAATTTTCGGGACGAACTCACTCTCTGTGACGGTCTGCTGTTCAAGGGAAGTCGAATCCTAATCCCTTCTTCTCTCTGAAAGGGGATGCTGGAGCATGTTTATCGCGCTCAACTGGGTGCAAATTACACCATTAATCGAGCAAGAGAACTGATGTTCTGGTCAGGAATGACAGGGCAGATCAAGGATCATGTGTCTAACTGTGAGGCGTGCCGTTCGCACGACATTCGGCAAACGAAGGAACCGATGATGCTGCATGATGTTCCGGACCGACCGTGACAAAAGGTAGCAGTGGAGCTATTCTGGGACAACGGAAAGGATTACTTACTCACGGTCGACTACTATAGTGCTTACTTTGAAATCGATTTACTCACCACCAACACCACGGAGGCAGTAATCAACAACCTCAGATGTCAATTCGCATGGCACGGGATACCGGAAGAGCTAGTCTCGAACAACGGTCCCCAGTTCAGCAGCAGGGCATTCCAGGTTTTCGCAACCAAATGGGAATTCGCACACCGGCAAACCAGTCCCTATCACAATCAAATGGGAAGGCAGAGTCGGCAGTGAAGCAAGCCAAGCGACTATTAGCGAAGGCTAGAGATACTCGGGAGTACCCATACCTCATGCTACTGGAGAGTCGCAACACTCCTTCAACGGATATCGGCCTGAGCCCAGTGCAGCGCCTATACAGTCGAAGGACCAGAACTGTGATGCCTGCATCCGCAACACTTCTGCGCCCTATCACGCCACAATTTGAGAAAGTACAGAACAATTTGAAAAGGCGAATGGCTACTCAGAAACGGTACTACGACAACGGCGCACGGGAATTACCTGAGCTGACCGTGGGGGAAGAAGTATGGGTTGAACCAATTCCCGATGGACAGGAGCGGTGCAGAAAAGGAGTCGTGGCTGCGAAAGTCGGTGAAAGGTCATACGAAGTAAATGTTGGAAGGAAGAAGCTGAGAAGAAACCGAGTACAGCTGAGGAGATGTCCGAGGCGACAGCATGAATCAGGGAGAGAGCGTTATACTGCGTGCGGCAATGAGGCGACATCGGCAGATCCAACAAAGAGGACGCGGAGTGGTAAAGTGTATGGACTATTTAGCAAAGTACAGCAGCAAGAACATGAAAAAAGGGAGGATGTGATGGGAGTGTGCACTCGAACGAACGTGCGGTGCCAGCCCAGCAAGAAAGCCGTTAGGCTGCCGCAAGGAATGGCGGCAGCTGATAGGACGTTCACACATTCCTCCATGCACACTGATTGGCCAACAGTTGGACGCATTGGAGTGAGTTTGTTTGACTGAATCAAAGGAAAAATGTCATGCATTCACAAAGATCGTCAATTATGGATCCAACTAGCTGTTTATACCGATATGTTTCACTCGCCCTCTGCCTGCGTTTTCGCCTGGTCCTTTTGTTTGCAGAATATACGTTTTGTCCCTGAAGGACCGATATTTTACAGAAGCAAAGACACATAACTGTGTGATGCCCTCTGGTATTGCTGGGTAAATGCAGCTATTCCAGTTGTCATCTCTGTGCAGCGCTCATGAAAAAGCTTAGATAGCTTATTGAGACAATTGGGCAGAGAACGAGTTGCAATGCCTCGCTGTCGGAATCGATCGTGTTCCCTAGCAAGTTTCAATGAGCCCTGTCCCTTGGTCAAAGAATATAGTCAGTCTTGCTACCCGACTCTCCATAACTGTGCCACTTAATCTGACACACCCTAACCTCTTATTCGGGCTACTCATCCTCGCCGTGACTACTAATGCTCCATTAAGAGTGGACACATCAACAGATTCGGTCATGACACCTGCAACTCGGAGCCGCGAGCAACCTAGAGCAGAGAAAATGGGTAGTTTACTTTCTGATAGCCTCGATAACCACACCTGGAGGGACTCACGCAGGTCCATCTTCTGTACCGAGCACACGTGGGCCAACGCACTTTTCACGGTCAACTCCAGTGAAACATTCTAAACAGCCCAAGCCACTAGCAACCACTAATGACAAAACTCTCCGGCACACCTACGTACCTGAGTAACAATCTGGCACAATAAAGGGCAAGTTGCTAGATTTTCGCAACCAGTAGACTTCCACCTGCGACGCTATTAGTATTCGGGTTTGGCCCACTATACTGAGACGCGTAACCCGCCACGCGCTCTCAGTGCACTATGGTTGACCTCAAATTCTTCGAGTACCAGTGAACTCAGCAGATGTGAGAGAGGCTGTTGGGCTCGCAGCAGTTCGTCTTCGCAACTTATAGAGCTGAGCCCGCATATTACCCGATCTTCCTTTGAAAGATTGCGCACAGGAAGCGGGTAACCAAGGCGGCAGCAATAGCAAGAAAAAGATATTTGTTCACGGCCTTTTGGAGCTTCCGGATCACTCTAATCACGAAGTGCAACCACTTGGCTGAGAGCAGTGGTGCTAAGTCCAGAAAGTACTTTCCCTGGACAAAGTTATCGCAAAAACCTTGATAAGGATTTTTCATCACAAAACCACAAGGGCTACGATCCAATGAAGGTAGTGATACACACCAAAGCGAAAACTCTAGTCCTATTGGATAACTAATCGCTGTTGCGTGCCAGGTTGCCAAAAGAAATTGGAATAAAGACGGCAGTTGCATGGCCAAGCTTGATTAGCAATTCAGTGGAAACTGCCTCGACAGTCCCACAGAGAGATAGACGCAACAACACCTATGGCACACAACAGTATACAGCCAATTATGATAAGACATCCGTAAAGCCATGCAGCTCCAACTGAATTTCCTGAACCGATTA